GCATCCGGTGGCCTGCCACTGTCCGACGAACCGCTGGCCGTCGCCGTACGGCCACCTCCAACTTCGGCGAGCCCGTTGGCGCGTTTGCCGCCGAGCCAGGCGGCGGCCTCAGCAGCTGGGAACCGCGTGAGGCGCCACCTGGGCAGCCCGCGAGCCAGCTGCAGGTTGCAGGCACCAGCGGCACATCCGAGGCTGGTGAAACTGCCGCAGCGGGCTTCGTAGAGCCGGGGGACGTGCTGGGCCTCAAGGGCTGCCGTGCACTCGCCGCCGAGCTGCAGGATCATGGCACAGCTCCGCGCGATAGCCTGCTGTCCCACCGCCTGATCGGCGGCCGCGGCGCCGCCGTGCTCGACGCCTACGCCGACTTCCAGCGGCGCGCCAACGCCTTCTTGGCCGACGGCTGCGCCGCGGTCGCCGCTGACGCCGGGGGCGCGCGCACAGATGTGGACGGGGGCGGCGGCGGCAAAGAGGGCAGCGGTGGTGCAACGGCCCACTGCGTTGTGGCCAATTTCTTCCGGAAGCTCGACGTGGCGGGCTTGGACGTAACTAGCATTGGTGGCGCCGTCCTGCTACCCGACCCGCTGACGCTGTTTGGGGTGCAGGCAGGCAGCAGGAGCGCTCAGCTGCTGTCTTTGTCGCTGGCAGCCGTGCTCGAAGGCCGGCTGCCACCGCCGCATGAGGTGCCGGACTGCTTCCTGCCTGCAGAAGGCATCAGGTTGGTGGTCGGTGGGCGGAGCGTTGGCGCGCGGGCTGAAGGGCATTGGGCAACGCGGCTGTTGTGGGCCAGAGCCATAGCCAAACTCTCTGTGTCTGATGACCGGAAGAGACCACCGCTGTCAAATTTCATCTATCCACCCATGAGCAAGCATAACACCTTGATACTGCACCACCTGCGCGCGGCCCACCGCATTGTGCGCTTGCGCAGGCATGCGCTCGTGTTCACGTCCCATCTCTCGCATGCTTGGGTGCTGGCTGCTTCTAGAGAGGTAGCAGCGCCCTTTGGCGGCGCGCCGCAGGAGCATGTTGCAAGGGCTGGTGAATGGTCGGCAATGCAGCCAGGCCTCGCTCACCTGCTCTTTGTGAGTGAGGGGTCCGAGGCACAGACCCGGCTGCCCCTGGCATTGGCTGCGGAGGCGGTGGGGGCGGCTGCGGCGCTGACCTGGCGCAAAGTGCTGCTGGGCGTGGTGGAAAACGGTGATGGCAGCGGCGGCAACGGCAGTTGCGTCATGCGCATGGCTGAGGTACAGCTTCGGCAGGTGCGCTGCAAGCCCAGGTGCCCTTTGCCTAGCCTGTGGCGTGCGCACGTCCATAATCGCTGGTTGCGGGCTGACGTGACTGTCGAAACCGCTCGCTTGCCTCACCCATCATTGTGTTCACGCTATGACTGCTTGGGATATTTATCAATCAGCGTGAAACATCAAGATATGCTCCCCTTGGCTGCAGGCCTTGCTACAACTGTCTTGTGCACGTGCAAATACACACACACACACACACACACACACACACACACACACACACACACACACACACACTTGCCTGAATCAGGTGGGAGAAGTGTTGGGTGACGCGGCCCGGTCAACACCCATGCTGGAAAACTCTGAGGCGACTCTTTTGTGGGCGGCAGGGCAGGCCTTGAGCACCCTTCTAGCTTTGGATCGATCCTCTCTGGCGCCAGATGATGAAGCGGTGCGTGTCGCTGTCGTTCGCATGGGACTGCAGAAACCAAGGGTGCGGTGCGGAAAGGGTGCATGTGGAAAGGGTGCGGTGTGAGCGCGTTTGACTTGTCGTCTGCTGCGCTTCCTCATTCCCCGCATTGCCTCACACGCATGCATCAACGTGCCGTAGGATATGGAACAACTCGCCACGCTGATGGAGAGCTGCGGCGGCTTGGTGGGGCAGCCGAGCGAACGGCGCAAAGAGGGGCCATTGGGGTCAACATGCGCAGAAGGGACTTGCTCTCTTGCTGCCTTTGATGCCTTCTGCACGCTGTCCGAATTCCTCCAACAGCGGGGCAATGTCAGCGCCGCGCTGAAGTGGGCGCGGCGGGCGCTGCACATCTGGTTTGCAGCCACCACAGTCGGCCGGCTTGGCGACGGGATACAGGTGAGCTGCGCCGAGCTGCCTGCTTGAGGTCGCGCGGTCTGTAGCAGTGGCAATCGTGGGTGTGGCGCTGACAGGGTGATATTGCACCACAGCTTGTGGAGGGGCTGCTAGTTGCAGCGCTCCACACAATTGAATCAACCATCCCTCTTCAAATAAAATCCATCACACGTTGGTGATTACAACGCTTGCAAGACCCATTGCAACACCTCTGCGGCACAAAATTCCATCTTCAGGAGGTGCACGAGAACAGCGCCTGCCGCCCCTTCTTCTTCATGTGGCGCGACATGCTGCAGCTGGCTGGAGAGGGGCACGATCCCCAGCAGCTGCTGGGCGTCAGCCACGCCGTCTGGCTGAGCAGGTGCGTGTGCGCACATTCACGTCATCCAGGTGGTCGGCTTTCAAAGCCACGCGCAGCCAGCTTGTCAGGCCTCTGGGCTGCAGAAGCGCAGGGGTGTAGCAGGCTCTCAGATTGATGCTCCGTCTATACCCAAATCAAGGCTGCGCTGCCCCACACTTTTGTGTCTGTTGCCGCCAGGCGCTATCAGTGCCTGGTGCAGCGCTTCATGGTGCTGCAGCTCGAGGAGGCGGGCGCCACGGCGCCCCCGGGCGGGGCCCTGGGGGAGGCGGCCTGGGCGGCCACGCTGTCGGCGGTGGAGGCGCGCTCCTGGAGCCCGAAGCTGCTTCGGGTGCGTTGAGAGCTGTGGGCAGGTCTGATGTTCCTTGGGCGCTGGAGTGTGCTGCTTGTGGGAGTGTTGTGCTTGCTGCAATACCATAACCTTACATCTGTTTACAAGCTTCCTTAGCCAGCTGCCTCTCAAAAGCCACTTGCAAATAAATCCTGCAAGCTGCAACCTGGCTCGGCCACACCTGCCCGTGGCCTGCAGGTGCGGTCGGGTCGTGGCTTTGAACAGACGTCCTCCTGCATAAGCCGATACGAGTTCCTTCGCAATGCACTTGGCGTGCCACCGCCGGATGGCGGCGCCATGGACTTTTACTACAAGTACTGCGGCAACACCGAGACCCTCGGTCCGGGGGAGGACCCCTGGTGAGGTCGTGCGGTCATGCTCACGACAGGATTAGGATTAGGATTAGGATTGTTACAGCGTCCCGCGGTCGCCCGCTCCTGGAGCCATCCAGGCTCATGGGATTGTACAGTAAAGCACCAGCGTTGTGTGACTGAGATTCAGGTGGCTACCGTGCGCCGTTCAAAGCAGGCGTGCACGAAGGCCCCCAACAGCTAGTAGGCAGCTAGCTTTCAAAAGCTTTCGTATCGATGGCAGTCTCGTACGGCAATGTCAAGCCAACACTGCCTTCTGCTGCCCAGTACCTCGGATGCCTTTCCATACGTGCTTGCATGTGCAAACCCTTTTTCCAGGTGGCAATACATTGCCGCTGAGGTGGACGTGCGGCAGTACAGCGACGGCTGTCAATCAGCCCTGGCTGAGCGGCTGCTGCGACCCACGCCCGACTCGTCACCCCTGCCAGCTGACAAGGCCAGGTGCGTTGGTTGCCGATTTCACTGCAGGGCTGGTCAAGGTGTGCAGGCTGCGTATTCGATGTCTGCATGCATCAGGTCCACGGATGCCCCTCTCCGGGGCATGCCCTCGCTTCCAACGCCGCTGCCCGTTGCGCTCGCAGATGGGTCTTGGAGCTGCGCGCACGACTGCAGACGCAGGTGCCCCTTTTCATGGATCACGTGCAGAAAACATACCTCTGGCCAATGCAATCTGTTTTAAGTGGTCCCCTGGGCAGCGTGGGCAGCGAGCTGACCAGCGGTGGACTGCGCGTGTTGTCATGCATGGGACTGGCCCTGTCGACACTGCCATTCCGGATAGGGGATCCCATCATCAAGGCGCGCTGTCTCATCGAAACGGGCGTTTTTGAGGCGTGCGCGATTTCAGTGCGCAGCAAAGGCGCCCCGGTTGTGTCGTGGCTCGTCCACGCCGCTGAGGCTGCGCTGTGCGAGGACGGGGCCGCTGACGGCCTCAGCGAGTGGGAGCGGCTGGTGCTGCAGTGCTTTGTATCGTTCTCCACCTGCCTCCTGTGCATCACCCTGGACGAGTGCCTGGTAGCTTTTGATCCCGCACACGGGGCAGCCACCGCAGCTGCCAAGCGCGGCCTCAATCCCGACAAGGCGCGAGCCGCTGGGTTGCGCGCGTGCATGATCATCCTGGACATGGCAGCTGCCATCCTTGCAGTCCGCCATGTTTCAGGACGCTCGGATCTGTTGCTGCAGCACGGCCCGCTTTCTAGCAGTGTGCAACTTCGGCCATTGTACCAATCCATGTTGGAGCCGGGCGAGGGCGGTGAGCTGCGCAACATCCTGGTGAGGGGATGGTCGTGCACCTTGAGCTGGTGTCCAGTGTGCAGGAAGGGCCTCTGCTAGGGTGTAGACGGGCGTACTTGCACGGACCTGTGCATGCATGCGCGTTATGTAACAGAGAGAGTGTGTGTGCGTGCACACACGTGTGTAGATCCCTCTCTCGATCTCTCTCTCCCCCCTCTCTGATTGTGTGCACACACATGCACACGTTCGTGCGTACGTGCGTGCGTGCGTGCGTGCGCGCGCGCGCGCGTGTGCGCGCATGGGTGCGTGCGTGCGTGCATGCGCACGTCTCACGCTGCCTCGTCACATGTGCTTGTAAAAGCAAGCATTTGCACCATCATGTTTGCTTCACGTGGCCCGAATCGTACTGTTTTTCGCCATAGCTTCCGTCTCCTCATCGAGCACGGGCGCTCGGACCCTCACCTGCAGGCCTCTTTCAGGCGCCGGCCCAGCGCGCCCGTCACCGGCGCAGACCCTGCCGGCCTCGTGCCGCAGCTGCAGGCGACTGCGTCTGCAGCTTGGAGTTTGAAGCTCGGCGACGATGGCGACTCTCGTGGGCTCTCACGCGTTGCCGTGGCGCTTGGCGGTGTGACTGCTGCCGCTGCAGCTGGTGAAGCTGGTGCCAGCAAAGGTGGCAGGCGCCCCTTGCCGCCGCCGTCAGGGCGGCAGCTGCTTTCACAGGCAGTCACGCGGCTGTGCGCACTATCAGACGGGCTCGATGGCGCGCTTCACTGCCTGCGGATGCTGCCAGGGCCGCTGCCACCAGCGGCGGTGGCGGCGGTGCTTTGTCGCGCGTGGAAAGATGGGGATGAACGCAGCTTGTGGAGTGCCTGTGAGTCGGTCAATGCCTGGAGGGATGCGGAGGCCTCGGCCCAGGTGACAGCCACCCTGGACAAGCTGGTCGTGGGGTTGGTTGAGCAGCGGCAGCAGCAGCAGCAAGAGCAGCAGCAGGAGCAGCACCCAGAGCAGCAGCAAGAGCAGCAGCAGGAGCAGCAGCAGGCGCAGCTGGGGGGTGGCTTCAACAATATGATCAGGGCTCTTGCAGTGGCCTATGCATTGCTTGGCGCCGCACCGGGCAAAGTCGCAGCTGGGGTGCTATTGCGTTTGCCGTTATCAGGGCTGCAGCTAGCCTTAGCGCTGCGTCGCGCGTGCAGCGACCGCACCGCCGCCGGGCCGCTGGCGGAGGCGCTGATTGGCGCGGCCTGGGCAGCAGGCAGGCTCGCGGTGGCCACGCTGCTGCTGCGCGTGGCATGGAGCAACGGCGCGCTCCGACCACCGCCCTGCGGCCGCGCTGTGGGCGCCCTGGCTTCCAGCATGGCGCTGCTGCCGGACGTTCGGCTGCGGGCGCAGTGGGGCCTCGGCCTCCTGCAGCTGGCACGGGATGGCACACTGCCCCCCGGCTTGGCAGGGGCCCCAGAGAGCGCTGGCACCGCTGCGGAGGAGCGCCAGCGGCGGAGGAGCCCGCTGCCGGGCGCGCCGGTGGTGCTTCCTCATGCGGCGGCGGCTGCGCTGCTGCAGCTGGTGGCTGAGGACAGTTTGGCCGCTGCCGCCGATGTGGTGGCTGCATTTACGTTTGTCACCAGCCCACAAGGCGGCGGCCTGCCTCTTAGTGCGATAGGCCCTGGCAGCGTACAAACAGCTGTGACGGCTTTCGCGGCACAAGGCAAGCACGAGACTGCGTGGCAGCTGGTGCAGCAGGCCGGCGGCTGCGGCACAGGAGCGGCAGCAGGGGATGGTGTAGGCGCCAGCCTGCTGACCCAGCTTATCGCAGTGTGGGAGGCGCTGCCCACACAGTGCTTGCCCGCCCCTGTGCTGCGCGGGGCGGCCGACGCGGCGGCGACGGCGGGCTCAGGCCCGCTGGCAGGGCGCTTGCTGGGCCTGCTGGCTGCGGCCGAGGGCTCCAGCTTGGAGGCGGCAGCACTCAGCTTGAGCAACGCGGCCCTGACGGGGCACCTGCTCTCGCAGCTGGATGCGGGCGCCAGGTCAGCGGCGGCGCTGGGGGCGGCTGCAGACTTGGCAGAGGCAATCACCGAGGCGTGTCGGCAGCTGCCTCCTGGCACATGGGCGCAAGTTCTTGCGCTTTGCGGTGGCGGCTCCGCAGCGGGCGCCCGGCTGGCGCTCCGGGCTCAAGAGCAGCTACTCTCAGAGGCGGTTGCTGCGGTTGAGGCAGTAGACCGCAGCGCCGGCAGCAACGACAGCATTGCGCCGGCGGGCCAGCCGCTTGCCGACGCGCTACTGGCTGCGCTGGCATCGCCGCTGGTGTCAAAAGAGGCCGGGTGTGCCGACGACGCCGCTGCAGCGGCGGCTGCGGCGGCAGCAGAGGCGGAGCCGCGAGACCAGCAGCGGCTGACGGCGGGCTGGGCGGCAGCGGCGCAGCGCGCAGACAACTTGAGGGCGCACCTTGCGACGCTCTGCGCCGAGGCAGCCGAGGCGTCGCCGGGGCATTGGCTGCGGTTTCCCTCAGGCTGCGGGCGGCAGGACGAGGCGGCGGCGCGGCGGCTGGCAGTGCTGCTGTGTGCGTCTACGGGGCTGTCGGGGGCGGCGGTTCAAATGTACCAGGAGTTCCGGCAGGCGGGCGGGCAGCCTGAGCTGGAGGGGGGCCTGCTGGAGGCGGCACTGGGGGCGGCGCACGATGCGGGGGCTGAGGCGGCGACCGGGTCTGCAGGTGGGTTTGTCAATATGCGCTGTCAGCTGCGGTGTTGCATCCGCCTGTTCTCACCTGGAGACAACAAGAGGCAGATTCATGGTGGCTGACATGCGCTCGCTGAACACTGCTCGGCGTGTTGAGTTGTATCCGTTGCAAATTGTTGCCACCAGCGCACATCAACACCCCGACCCATCCGCTCCCCTTTCGCAACGCGCAGCTCCTACTGCCATCCTGCGCACCGCCCAGTCCCTCTGCCCCCCTGGCACCACCTGGATACCCAGCATTCCCATGGCATGGCGCGCGTTCTTCGCCACGCTCACCAGCAGTGCCGCCCACAGCGCAAACGGGGGCGAGCGCGAGGCGGCCGCGGCGGCAGTGGGGGCGGTCGAGGCGCTGCTGCTTGACAGCGACGCCCTGTGGTCAGCGGGGGGCCAGGTGGCCGCCCTGCCCTCACAGGCGGTCGCAGAGGGCCTGCGCGCGCTCGTGCCATGGACACCTGCCGCGCCGGCGGGCGCGGCGGCCGCAGCGCGGCGGCTGCTGACCACGTGCGAGCTGCGGGGCGGGCAGCAGCAGCAGCAGCCGTCCCAGGCCCCATCACCTGCCCAGCGCGGCGGCTCGCCAGGCGGCAGCGGCAAGCGCAGGGGTGCAGCTGCTGGATCGCACTCGTCCCGTGCGGCAGGCATTGCCGCCCTGCGGCCTGCTCTGCCCGACGCTGATGGCGGCATCTACACGGCAGCTGCCGCCGTGCTGGCTGCGGCTGACGACCTGGCAGGAGCTGTGAAGCTGCTCGCACCGCTCATCTCTGGTGCCAAGGGGCATGCAGGTTTATGCGGCGACAGTATTGGCTCTTCCAATGCTCGGCAGCAGCAGCAGCAGCAGCAGCAGCAGCAGCAGCAGCAGCAGCAGCAGCAGCAGCAGCAGCAGCAGGTGGCCGCTGAGCTGCTGCACATGCTGCCTCCAGGCCGCCGCTCTGCGGCCGCGGCACCGGTCCTGCGGCTACTGGCTGCGGGGGGCGTGGGTGCGGTCACGTCACCTGCCCTGGTGGAGGCGCTGACAGGGGAGGACCTGGTGAGATGAGGGCGCGGCTGGGGTGCAGGGGGCTTTCAAATACAGCAGCAATGTGCGGTGGATCGCCTGTTATGCAACGGGGCTTCTGATCTTATCCACTTTTGTGGTTGCCTTTCCACCCATCTTGTTAGACCAAGGCACGAGGTCATTTACAAGCAAGCTGCACCAAGGACGGAATTGCATCACCATCACATGCTCAAACCCCCCAGGATGCTGCATCCGAGGCTGAATTGGCAGAGGCGTTTGGGAACGGCTTCGTGGATGATCTGATGATGGCTGCAATTGAGGGCCTGCCCGTGCTGGGCGGCGGCGAGGACGGCTCTGCGCAGGACGGCGCTGCGGCGTGCAGCCTGGCGCTGCGAGCCGGGGCGGCGGGCGGAGACGAGGGCAGCAGCCGCGATGCGGCTTTGCGGGACTTGCTGCGTGCCGTTGGTTGACTGGATCCCACCAATGCGAGAGTGGCAGTTGTAGTGCCAGTTAGAACTGGATGTCAAGAAGTCATCCAATGGCTTGCAGTGCACTCGTCTAGGCCGTGTCTCCCTTGCCCACGAGCCTCTGCACGGCAGGCCTTTGTGTGTTGCAGTCAAACAAATGTTGCTGTTGCCTTGCTTGGATCCCGTTGCTGGATGGCTGGGGCACACGTGGTGAACTTTTGCAGGCGCCGTGTGTGCTAAACGTGCTGGCTGCTTAGCACACCATACACTGCGCGGCCTGACAGGATATTCGGATTCGCAGCCTGCGCTGCGGGGGTGTGTTGTGGACCCTTGCAGGGGTGTGTTGCAGACCTGACTTCTCCACTTGGTTAAAGGGTTGAAGGCTTGGGTTTTATGTTTTACAATGTGAAATCCATCAGCACAAGGCATGCAGGTGTTCCAAAGGGCATATCTTTCGGGCAGCTGTGATGCCCAGGAGCCCCGCGTATGGGAGGCTCAACCACACTAATCTTGCACCACGAATTGCAGGAACATCATCCAGGTGGCGCCTCTGGCAGTCCTTTGCCTGCCCTGGAGATGCCAGTAGTTGCAGAAGTGCATCGCACTGTTGGTTGTGGCTTCTTAGAGAACACACAAACCACAATCCATGACTTGCCAAAATTGACCGGCATGAATGAGTCAAGAAGTAACCAGTCCCCACGTGCTCTGTCGTCACCGCATGACCAAGCATCCAGGATGCATGGTCACAGGTGGTCGAGGGAGGTGGTTACGTCGGGGGCGGTTTAGGCGGGAACACAGCAGGCAGCGGCACGGCCAGATCGGCGTTGCTGCGTGGCTGCCTGTGTGGGCGTACCATGAAGCAGCGTGGTGTCTTTGGTAACAGAACGAGGCCCTAGCACATGTTGTCTTTGGTATCAGAGGGATCATTTAGCGCATGACGGTGAGTGTGTATGCGAGTGCATGGACAACTTGTTGCCCAGCAAGTGTCGCAATTGGTGACAAGGAGTGACGAGCTGAGACACACACACACAACAGATGTCTGTTTGCCTGTCACCTTGGATCATACTATGATTGAAAAACTACATATATTGTTGCAGTTGTGGTATCGTGTCCACGTGGGACAGTCTGTTCGATGCCCGTGCCTCGCACGCCTGTGAGATCCAGAGTCGTCTCGCTGTCCTTCGCCCCACGATGCTGCTGAGCCAGCGAAGATGCCTGGCCTCGTCGTGTCAACCTTCAACACCAAATCGCCGGAGCATTTGGTGGCGCGCCACCGCCCGACGAAACGCTGCCCCTCGCCGCTGTGCTGCCATCTCCAATGGCGAGCCAGTTGGCGCCTCTATCGACGAGCCAGGCGGCCGCTCCAGCGGCCCAGGACCTCGCGAGGGGCCACCTGGGCAGCCCGCGAGCCAGCCGCAGCATGCAGGCACTAGCAATCCATCCGAGGCTGGTGAAACAGCCGCGTCGCCCCGCGCGGCGCCATTGGATGGCGATAGCGCGCATGCAGCAAGGCTGCAGGATCGCACCCGCGCCTTACGCGACGGCCTGCTGTCCCGCGGCCTGATAGGCAGCCGCGGCGCCGCCGTGCTCGACGCCTACGCCGACCTGCAGCGGCGCGCCAACAACCTGCATCTTGCCGGCTGCAGAGCTGCGGTCTTTGGCAGAGAGCTCGACCCCGAGTCAGCAGACGAGCTGCCCGCGGACAGCGGCGGCTGGCAGGGCTCAGAGCTTCCGCCACAGTCCGTGCGACGCTATGCCGCTCAGCTCGCCACAGGCGAGCTGAAGCCCGGCGCCACCTCCCTCCTCCCAGACCCCCTCCTGCTCTTTGCTGGGGACACCCTCGGGGCCCACGGCGCGGACTGGGACGACCCAGTCGCGGCCGCGGAGCGCCAGCAGCCCCTCTTGCTTTCAGCCCTGTGCGCCGCGCTCGGCGGCGCGGGCAGCCGGCCGATGGCGGCGCTGGAGGAGGTGCCAGATGGCTTCCTGTCTGCAGAGAGCATCAGGTCGTTTAGGTTTGAGGGGCGGGACCAGCTCTGCAGGCCTGATGGCCTTTGCCGCGCAGCAACCTGGATGATGTCATGTTTGGGTTGCGGCTCAGACGCTTGCATCCCCTCCAATGCAACGCCACGCGGCGGCACTGAGCTGCTGTTCATCGGCGGGTCCTGCATAATCCATCCACCAACAGCAGCTCCAAAAACCCCCAAGGCTGATGCCCCGTGTTGTTCAGGGCCCTGAACCTGAATGTACCTTGCAACCTCCTATCAAACCATCCAGGGACGCCATGGTGTTGACGTTAAGACTGTGGGACAACTGGAAACTCCTGACCTCCCAGATGGGTCAATCACCCTTTGGGCGTGCACCGCAGCAGCATGTAGCGGCGGTCTGCGAATGGTCTGGCGAGCAGCCGGGCCTGGGCCCCCCGCTTTTGGAGCCCCTGGGATCTACCGCCCTGATGCATTTGCCCACAGCGCTGGCTGCAGAGTCCCTGGGAGCGACTGCGGCGCTGAGCTGGCAAAAGATGCTGATGCTGAGTCAAGCGAGCAGCCCCGCCGGCGGTGGCAGCGGCACGGGCGGCAACAAAGCTGTGGACGAGCGCGTTCGGCAGGTGTGCAGCTTCACTCTACCGGCCGCTGTTTAAGAATGCCCCATCCTTCTCGAGGGCCATCCCCACCGCCTCGGCATTTAGTGCACCCATGTGGGGCCCCTCAGCTCGCCCTGGCCTGACTTGCTTGACCTCCGCCTGCCTGTCCGTCTTTCGAAAATCGAACATTCTGTTTGGCGTATGCACACGCACGCAGGTGGGCGCCGCCCTGGGCGACGCGGCGCTTGCTTCGCATACGGCAACAGGAAAACTGTGCACGACCACTGCTTGGGCTGAGTCCCAGGCGCTGGGCACCTTGCTGGCCGTTGAGCCATCGAGCCTCACGGCCGACGACCTGCAAGTGCGTCTGACGACACCCTCGGCCTGCTCCCATTCACTGCCTGCCCGCCGGCCCCCGCTTATTTGCCTGCGCCACGCTGGTCACCGCGGCCTGAGCTACCGCATTTGGCTACCTGGCTAGCTAGTGCCTTTGCAGCGTGAGGACGTTTGGACCCACACATGACATCCTTCGCACCTCAGGTCGTGGACCGGCTCGCGTCCCTCCTGGAGTCCCCGGGGCGCGCGAGCATCCGGCCTCGCGACTGGCGCTTGCTCTGCCCACCAAGCGTCAGCCACGCACAGGAGGGCTGCCCCCTGCTTGCGTTCGACACAGCCTGCGTGCTGGCGGAGCACAACCACCGGCGGGGCGACATTGAGACCGCCCTCACTTGGGCGATCCAAGGGATCTGGGACTGGCACAGACTCGCAGGCATGGGCCGTCTTGGGGGCAACCTCGACGTGAGCGCACCCGGGTTGACCGGCTGAGCACGTTTCGTCTGCTGTACAGCCTGGCGCCATCTGTTGCTGAAAAGTGGCCGGCTGACAAGTTTAAAAGTGTTGAAGGATGTCGCACACTCCTGCGCCTTGGGGTGCTTTGACCGGTGTGTCCATGGCGACTACCCATGGCTGGCGGCCCTGCAGGACCTGGAGGGGCGCGGCGCCTGACGCCCCTTCTTCTTCATGTGGCGCGACATGCTGGAGCTGGCAGGGGACGGCCACGACCCCCAAGACCTCTTAGCGGTCAACCAGGCGGTGTGGCTGTGCAGGTGAGTGTGTGCGTGTGTGTGCATGTGCGTGTGGTTGCGTGCACTTTTTTCTTGGTGTGTGCATGAGGTGATCGGGGGAGCGACGACGACAACACGCGATTACTGGTACAGAGAGAGACACGGCCTCGTCCCTGAAAGGACCAGATGGGCCCTTTGCTAACCAAGTTCCAAATTGATATCTTGCAAGCAACCTCAAGAGATGTTTGCGTTGTCATGCCACTAAGGCGCTACCAGTGCCTGGTGCAGCGCTGCATGGTGCTGCAGCTTGAGGAGGCGGGTGCTGCGGCGCCCCAGGGCGGGGCACTCGGGGAGGTCGCCTGGATGGCCACGCTGTCGGCGGTGGAGGCGCGCTCCTGGCACCCGGCGCTCCCCGGGGTGCGCGCATAGACGTGTTGCAAAACGGCAGGGTTTGGTTTTGGCAGCGTTGATGCTACATGGGTTGGGGCTGAGCGCGCCTGTACCCTCTGCAACCCGAAGTTTGCACCAAAGTGCAAGGTATGTCGTTTCCCTTTCATATGTTTGTGACTCTAACCTGATCCCACATGCGGCGGGTGGCAACCCCTTTCAAAATGTGCAGGTCCCGGCCACTGCCGCGCCCTTCACGCGGTCCTCTCCCGCCTCGAGCACCATATTCTTGGCGGGCGGCCGCGGCTTAACCATGGACGATAGTTTTGCACTGACCACCTACCTCAAGTTTCGCGATGACCGGGACAATCTGGGGCCCTGCGACGACCCCTGGTGGGCGGCACTGCCCCTGATTTGGCCTGTGCCATGGCAACGCAGGGGGCGTGTGCTTGTTTGGGGTTTAAACCTGAACTCTTGGCTGTCATAAGGGTAGCCCCTAAACTCTCAACCCTAGTATGTTTCTGTTTCACACGTGCCTGTGTCAGGTGGCAGTACATCGCGGCTGAGGTGGACATTCAGCACTACAGCAGTGGCTGCAATTCAGGCTTGGCTGACCGGCTGCTGCAGCCCACGTCTTTATCCTCACCCCTGTCGGCGGACAAGGCCAGCTGGGGGCGTGTGCGTATGGTTCGCTTGGGCAGAAGGTGGAGATGGCAAGCAATCCGCCCAAATGCTCGAGTTGGCGATCGTGCCCACGCACACATGGGCTGCGGCGCCGTCAGGGCGTGACTCCTTGAATATCCCGATCAGTCGCCGGCGGCCTGTGACAACCCCCGTGCTCGCCTGACGTCGCAGTTGTGTCCGGGTGACGCGAGCTCTTCTGGACGCCACCCTGCCGCAGTTCCTGCTTCACACGTATGAGAATCTCCATTCATACGCCAAAGTTTCTGGCACAGATCTCCGCATCAAGTTTGCCCAGAGCATCGCCATGTCCATGCTGCCCATGCTTGTGTCGAGTCTGCGGGAACGTGCCCTCACCTGCCTCCATTTCGGCGTTTTTGAGGGCTGGTATTCGGCGCTCACTGAGACAGGGGCGAGTTTTGGCTTACTCCGGCCAACAATGGTGGCGTGCGCCGCGGTGGCCGCCGGAGGCCTGTCGGAGTGGGAAGCCCTCGGCCTGCGCTGTGCGGCGCTCTTCTATGGCAGTGCACTTGGCCCGTTAGACGAGGCCGCCGGCGACATTGAGGCTGCGGCCGCGGCTGTCGCGCAAGCTTCGCCCTCAATGACATTCGAGGCAGTCAAGAAGCATAAGATCTTGCTGGATAGCGCCGCAGTCCTGCTCGCGATCAAGGCACGCTTCTGCCCTGACGTGCTGCTGTCGCAATGCCCTTTGTCATCATCGCCTGCGGCTCGCCGCTTGTACGACAACATGCTGAACCCTGCAAAGGGCGCCCAGCTGGCAGCTGCTCTGGTGGGCTAGGTTGTTGAATTTAAAAGGCTGCTCTTTATCACTGATGTTGGCACGAGTTCAATTAACGTGACCCAAAGGATTGTCATGTCTGCATGCATAATGCAACGCTGGGATTGATTGGTGGCGTGATGATGCGTGCCTTCACAAACGCGTGCTTGCGCCAGCAATTTGAGCTTTTGCATGTGCGCATGTGATGAGGGTACGCGCGCGTGCGATGCGTTCGTGCGCGCGTGCATGCGTGAGTCACCATACAACGTCCCACACGCCATCATGAATTGCCGCGCTGCGCCAAACTATGCACCCTCCACCCTCGGCTTCCTCACCAGGCCCTGTTCCGACGCTCCCCTGACACGCTCATCACCGGCACAGACGATGACGCATGCCAGCTCTGTCTGCCGCGCCTGCGGAAGTCGGCGTTCGAATGGTGGATTGGGGAGCTCAGCAGCAAAGGCGACCGGCTTCCCTAGCACACCTCGCCCTGGCTTTTGGCGGCTTGGTTGGTCCCGCAGCCGGGGAGATCAGTCGCGAAGGCGGCAAACCCCACGCGCTGCTTGTGCAGGAGCGCGAGCTGCTTGCAGAGGCGGTGGTGCAGCTGTGCAAGCTGCCAGGCGGGCTGAGCCACGCACTCCACTGCTTGCGCGAGCTGCCAGGGCCGCTGCCAGCGGCAGCTGTGGCGGCGGTGCTGCAGCGTGCGAGCGCAGACGGCGATGTGGGCAACATTTCCAGCGTATGCACTATTGTGGCAGCGTGGGAGTGCAAGCAAGCAGCTGTCCAGGCGGCGGCCACCTTGGACCGGCTCGCCCGCCGCCTGCGGCAGCAGCTCCAGCAGCAGCAGCCGCAGCAGCAGCAGGGCCAGCAGCAGCACGAGCACACACAGCCGCCAGAAAGCCTTGCAAAGCAACTCACGGCGGCATATCTGCTGCTTGCCGCCGCACCAAGCCCAGCCGCAGCCTGCGCTCTCCTGCAGGCAGCGCCGTCGGCGCTGACATCGGCACGGCTGCTGCGCCTGGCGTGCGGTGACGGTCCCGTCCTTGCTGCCGGGCCCATGGCAGAGGCCTTGATCCGCACGGCCTGCGACCTGGGCCGGCTGCCGCTGGCCGTTCTCCTGCTGCGCATGGCGTGGGGAAGTGGCGCGCTCGATCGGACCGCTTGCGGCCGCGCCTTGGGCGACCTGGCGGCTTGTGTTGCGCTGCTGCCGCCCGGCCCACAGCGCACACAGTGGGCCTTGGGCCTGCTGCAGCTGGCGCGCACTGGGAAGCTGCCATCTGGCCTGGGTGGCGGCGACGCAGGCGCGGCTGGACAGGCCCGGCTGCAGCGAAGGCGGCCGTTGCCAGGCGTTCCTGTGGCGCTTCCGGCCACTGGAGCGGCTGGCCTGGTGCAGGTGCTGGCGGGCTCCATTTCTGTCACAGATGCAGAGTTGATAGCGGCGTTTGAGTTTTGCACGAGCATCAGCAGCGGCGGCCTGCCCCTGAGCACAGTGGGAATGGAGAGCCTCAAAGCTTTTGTGGCGGCGTATGTGGTGCAGGGGGACCATTGGGCCGCATGGCAGCTGGTGCAAGAGGCAAGCGGCAGCGGGCCCGGTGGTGGCGCGGATGCGCATGCCAGCCTGCTTCAGGCGCTGGTGACCTCGTGGGAGGGGCTTCCGGCTGAGCAGCTGCCTGCTCCTGTGCTGCGTGCGGCGGCCGAGGCAGCTGCGACAGAGGGCTCTGCGCAAACGGCAGGACGCGTGCTCAGCCTGCTAGCTGCGGCCCAAGGCACCAGCGTTGCGGCGGCGACGCTGTCTCTAGGCAACGCTGCCGTTACGGCGCACCTGTTGTCGCTGCTCAAGACAGGCTCCACGAAGCCTGCCGCGGCGCTGGAGGCAGCAGCAGATTTGGCAGAGGCAGCCGTTGCTGCTGGTCAGAGGCTGCCGCACGGCACATGGGCGCAAGTGCTCGAGCATGTTGGAGGTGGAGCTGGCTTCATCAGCAGCACAGCAGGCGCGCAGCTGGCGCTGCTGGCACAGGAGCAGCTGCTGTCGCAAGCGGCCGCTGCGTTTGAGGCGGCAGAGCGCAGCTGTGCAAATGAGACGGGCCGCGTGCTGACCGGCCAGCGGCTTGTAGAGGTGCTGCTGGCCGCTCTGACGTCACCACTGCTGTCCGGAGGCAACGTCTTGGCAGAGCGTCGTGCCGCGGAAGCTGCCACAGCAGCCGCTGGCGCAAAACCAGAGGTCCAGCAGCAGCTGGCAGGCGGTTGGGCAGCAGCTGCGCGGCGCGCTAGCGAGCTGTGGGCACGCCTTGCGGTTGCCTGCGCCGAGGCAGCCCAGGAGTCTCCAGAATTGCCGGGGCACTGGCTGCAGTTCCCGCCCGGCTGCCGGCGGGAGGACGAGGCGGCGGCGCGGCGGCTGGCTGTGCGGCTGTGCGCGTCTGTGGGGCTGTCGGAGGCGGCGGTTCAAATGTACCAGGAGTTCCGGCAGGCGGGCGGGCAGCCTGAACTGGAAGGGGGCCTGCTGGAGGCGGCGCTGGCGGCGGCGCACGATGCGGGGGCGGAGGTGTCAACCGGATCTGCAGGTGGGCATGGAGGTTTTGCATGCGCTCAGGGCCATGCGACTGCGTCGGCTTGTTTGGGATGGGCTTCCTGGGCTCGTCATGTGTGGGCGCTGCAACCACAGCAGCAGCCACTGCAGCAGCCATCTCGCCTCACTTTGTGGGGTGGACTGACAGTGCAGCCTGTTCGCTGTGTCCTGCATGTGTCCCCCTTCTCGGCAGACCCATGAACATCTCCACTCATTGCTACACACGCATATTCTTATTGCACATGCACATGTGCCCGTCCAAACTTACCGTCGCCCTTTGCCCCTCGCCCCCCACCACGCAGCTCCCGCCGCCATCATGCGCACAGCTCAGTCCCTCTGCCCCACCGGCACCACCTGGGTGCCCAAAGACCCCACCGCATGGCGTGCATTCTTCGCCACGCTTGCCAGCAGCGCAGCCCACAGTGCCAACGGGGGCGAGTGCGACGCGGCCGCGGCGGCAGTGGGGGCGGTGGAGGCGCTGCTGCTTGACAGCGACGCCCTGTGGTCAGCGGGGGGCCAGGTGGCTGCCCTGCCTCTAGAGGCGGTCGCAGAGGGGCTGGGCGCGCTCGTGCCATGGGCGCCCAGCGCACCAGTGGGCGCGGCGGCCGCTGCTCGGCGGCTGCTGACCACATGCGAGCTGCGGGGCGGGCAGCAGCAGCAGCTTCAGGCTCCTCCAGCTGCTCATCGCGGCGGCTCGCCAGGCGGCAGCGGCAAACGCAGGGGTGCAGCTGCTTCATCGCACTCGTCCCGTGCGGCAGGCATCACCGCCTTGCGGCCTGCTCTGCCCGACGCTGATGGCGGCATCTACTCGGCAGCTGCCGCCGTGCTGGCTGCAGCCGGCGATCTGGCTGGAGCTGTCATGATGCTCGCGCCGCTCATCTCTGGTGCCAAGGGGCATGCAGCTTTATGCGGCGACAGTAGTGGCTCTTCCAATGCTCAGCAGCAGCAGCAGCAGCAGCAGCAGCAGCAGCAGCAGCAGCAGCAGCAGCAGCAGCAGCAGCGGCAGCGGCAGCGGCAGCGGCAGCGGCAGCAGCAGCAGCAGCAGCAGCAGCAGCAGCAGGTGGGCGCTGAGCTGCTATGCCTGCTGCCTCCAGGCCGCCGCGCTGCGGCTGCGGCGCCGGTCCTGCACCTGCTCGCTGCGGGGGGCGTGGGTGCGGTCACGTCACCTGCCCTGGTGGAGGCGCTAACTGGGGAGAACCTGGTGAGATGAGGGCGCTGCCGGGGTGCAGGGGGCTCTCAAACACATGCCATCCAAGGGCAGTTGCAGCAGCAATGTGAGTGTGATTGCCTGTTGTGCCCGGGGGCTTCAGCACTTTTGGGGCTCACTTTCACAACCACCCCTTGCAACGATGCAACCCATGCGGTAACTTGCAAATCAGCCATATCCAAGAATTGCCCCACCACTGTCCCAAACTCATCCCCTCAGGATGATGCAGCTGAGGCTGACCTGGTGGAGGCGTTTGGGGACACCTTCGTGGAGGATCTGATGGTGGCCGCGTTTGAGGGCCTGCCCGCGCTTGGCTGCGGCAACACGGGCTCTGCGCAGGACGCTGGTGTGACGGGCGGCCTGGCACTGCTTGCGAGACATGCCGGGGCCGCGGGCGGCGACGAGGGCGGCGGCTGCGATGCAGCCCTGCGGGCCCTGCTGCGTGCTATTGCAAGCTGACGCACCGAGGTGGTGCTGTGCGAAGCTGGTGCAGTGTCAAGCTGGTGGTGTCAATAAGAGTGTTTTAGTTGAGTTGGCGGCGTGCCGCGGATGCTGCTGTAGCGAGTCAATTGGAGTGAGTCAATTGGTCAATTCTGCGTAAGTGCTGCTTTCGGGGCCTGGCTGTCTGCCCCCTGGCAGAGCAGATGCAGGCGCCGCCGCACCGCCAATACATGTATAGGTACATTACCCACTTTGCCCCATTATTCTCACGCTTCACTGCTGCCTGCACAAAGCGTTGGGGCCTTGCTCCGCACTCCACACTTCACCGGCCATGCCCCGCCCGCTGGGTTGCCAGATTTGAGCTCACATAGCCAAGCACCTTCGACACAGAGTGCCAGGGTGCGCATTGCAGAGCCGCTCGCATGACTGACGACGCATGCACGTTTCAACTTGCATTTGGTCTGCTGTGCCGCTGTGGGGAATGCACTTAGTGCAGCTCAAACGATGCGCCTCATGCATTTTCACAGGTTACACAGCCAGAGAGGGACCCACACAAGTGAGAATAGGGTACTGTAGATGACATGTAAGAAGCATTTGCATTGTGTCCAGGAGGGAGCGGGCTGCTCCACCACAACCGGTCAGCGCTTGTTCCAGCGCCGCCATCCCACGTGGGCCTCGGCAGACCACCAGGCACCAGCCGCAGCCGCAGCGCCGCCCAAACAACACGTTGGCAGCAGCTGCAACATGAGCCGCCAAGGCCGCTGGATCGCGCGCCCTCTCAGCCGGCGGTTCGAGATTGAGGGGGAGCGGGGGGAGGGGAGACATCTCACCGCCGCAGCCGGCAAAAGTGGGGCGCGGCCTCCGCCAGCGCCTCCTGTGTCACCGCGGTGACGCCCTGCATCTCGTACCACCCCTCGTCCCCCTGCTGGCAGCGGTGGAATATCACCAGCTCCGGCCGCACGCGCCACAGCACGGACGAGGAGTGGATGCGCAGCTGCAGCGGCGCGTCTGCGGATGACATGAGAAGAAAGGATGTGGCGCGAGTCAGCGCTCGTCTGACGGCGTTGCTGGAACCTGAGGTCACCGCTGCCTTGGTGCCCGGCAGCAGCAACAGCAAAGCGCCTGCCAAACACCAACCGCAGAGGCGAGTCGCTGCACGTAAAAATACGCCCTTAGTGGCCCCCAATGCCGATGCGGGTCGCAGCCCCCTTGCTTCGAATGGCAATCCCTCACCCTGCTTTGTGTGCCGCAGCAGGCGGTACACATGGGTGCCGGCGTCGTTGGCGGCCCGCGGGTCGTAGTCCGTCCGCGCAAACCTCGCTGCGTTGAAGAACATGCCCGCGGCAATCGCGGCGAGGAACGACTGCAGGTCGAACGCCGCCTCCGCCGCGCCGCGCGGCAGCAGGCCGAGGCGGGAGAGGCGGGCGCGCAGCTGCTTGGCGACCTCCTCGGCGCGCCGCATGTGGTGGTGGTGCACAAAGTGGCGGTTGGCCCTGGCAGGGGAGGGTGGGGCAAGAGGGCACCATGGAAGGGGTGAGCGGGGAGGCCGGTCGGGGGGGTGAAGTTGCAAGGGCTGCTGATGGGCTGGCAGCAAATGCGTCGAGCGTGGGGACGCTGGGCTGCGAGACCGCCCTCAGGGCAGAGCGCGGCCAGCAGGAAACCCTGACTGCAACCCTGATCAGACCACTTTGCCGGGAAAATCGGGCGTGTTGATATCAGAGCCCCCACAAACACACGGCGCCATTGCGACGACCCGCCCCCCCTCCTTTCGGCCGCCCCCGCCCACCACTTTTGCGACCGCCCGTTTTCTGCCCACGCCCTGTGGGCGTTCAGGTACGTCACCATGTCACCCTCCGCCGCCGCAAACTTGGCGACCGCCGCGTCCCGCGCCCGCAGGCCCCCGCCGCCGGCGTGGCCCCAGACTGACGGCACAGACAGCAGGCCGGCGAGGAGCAGCAGATGGTCGGCGCAGCCGTGGCGGCGGCAGGCGGCGAGGAGGGCGGCGGCAAGGGGCGGGTCGAGGGGGAGGGAGGCCAGGGGGATCCCAGTGTCTTTAGACAGCCTGCAGAGAGAGGGCCGAAACATGGAGCGACACAGGGTAAGATGTGACGGGATGGGACATGAGAGGATAGGATAGGACACGACAGGATTGGATAGAATTGGACAGGATGAGTCAAGAGTGGTAGGGTTCAGCAGCTCCTGAGCTGGAGCTGGGTTGCTCAAGACATGAACCTTCAAGGCTCCCGAGGGGCCCACACCGCTCAAAAGTAATTGCGAAAACAAAACCTTACGTGGTTTTATTACTCACTTGGCGTCGCCGTCCAGGGCTCCCAGCGCGTGCAGCAGCTCCAGCCCCCGCACCACCGCCTCCGCGGGCGGCGGCGCCAGCCAGTCGAAGCGCATCACGTTGTCGATGCCCATGGCCTGTGGCAGGTGCAGAGGCGGCGGGGCGGCAGCCGCGCAGATTTCTTCAGCATGATGAAGTGCCGCAGCCTCGCTCAGTGTGTGGCTGCATGCAACATTGTACTTGATCACCGCCCCAGCGGAAACATGGAATTCACGCGAATCCACCCGTCCCATCTTGCTGGGCGCCCCCGAGATGCCCCTGCCCCCTGCCTAAAAATACTTGTGCATGGCGCCTCTGCCTGGGCGCTGTCACCCGGCGACCCCGGCCCCAGCTGCAGCAGCACACCGGCCAGGCTTAAGTCCACACTTGCATGAGCCAACCCAGTTGAGCAGCATGCAGAAGGCGTGTCACATCACAAAGTGCATCCCCTAGATACCAATGCGCCCACCTTGAGCTGCAGCAGCATGCCGGCCAGGTCCGATCGCTGCATCTCGGGCGTGCTGGCCGCGGGCAGCAGCGTAGCAAACGCGTCCTCGGTGCACAGACGGAAGCAGTGCCCCGGGCGCACGCGGCCCGCGCGGCCGGCGCGCTGCGTGGCGGATGCCTGCGAGGGAGCGGGGGTGACACAATTGAAGGGGGTGCCGCACGACTTGACAATAGCTGCGACACAGCAAGACGTCTGTGCGCCTGCCATCTCGGGGCAGAGCCAGGTCGTTGACACTGGCGAATGGCAAGGCGAGGCGCAAGCTTGCCATTCAGCACTTTGATATACACACCTCAGCATTACGGTATGCACATAGAACCCCGGCAGACACGTCCACTGGACAGAATGCCAGTGGTCTGGAACGGACTGGACCCACGCAGCCCGTGTGGTGCAAGTCTTGTCGAGCGACCTACCTTGGAAGTGGGTGCGACAAGCAAGGACTCCAGGCCGATGGCGGGGTTGAAGGCGCGCTGCTTCACGTAGCAGCTGTCGACCACATACACGATGCCCTCCAGGGTCAGGCTGGTCTCTGGGGAACGGCGGTCAGCGACGTGATCAAACGCGGTCAAACGTGGTCAAACGTGTACGAAACATAATGCATTTCAGGACACGAGAACGGTGGGTGCGCACCGCGTGTCCACGCTGTTCACACGCAATGTGCTGGCTGCTATTGCGGTCAAAGACGGACGGTCAACGGGATGCGCGCGCACCCGCAATGTTTGTTGCGACCACCACCTTGCGCGTGCCGCGTGCTGCCGGCTGGAACGCTGCCTGCTGCTGCGCGCCTGGCAGGCCTGCGGGCGGGCGGGCGGCCGGCGCAGGGCAGGGGCGGTAACGAAAGGGATTTTGCAGGCAGGGGCGCGGCAGTGATGAAGGCGGCATCCTGCTGACCCTGGGAACCCACAGGATTAGTTGTCAGTTGTCTTCCCTCCTCCCCCCTCCCCCCCTCCTCATGGTCCTTAATGAGGTGCAATAGCCTGCTCCCTGAGCTGCAGACAGCGTTTCAAAGGACTCGGATCCCCCTACAAGGGCAGCCCGGGGCACAAGCATGGCCCAAGACCGGCGCCCGCCCCCCTCGCGCACCCGAGTAGAGCGGCAGCGGCAGCAGCCGGTACTTGAGCCTGCTGCCCCGCAGCCGCCCCGCCTCCTCCGCCAGCATCTTCACGGCAGCTTCCACCTCCTCCTGGCCGGTCAGGAACACGAGCACGTCACCTGGCACGTCCTCTCGGTGAAGTTCACAGACGGTGTTCACGGCGGCCTTCACGTAGTCGCTGGTGGGCTCCAGTAAGTAGTGAAGCTGCGGGGAAGTTGAGTCGAAGGCGGTGGGCGGACGATCTAGGTGCGGCCGCCAGCAGCTATGCAGCAGTTGCAAATAAGCACACGCCTGGCGCCGAGCCGAGCGCAGCGGCTGCGCAGTCCCCAGGGCAGCCCTGACAGCCGAAAGCGGCCTGCGCGTGCCTTCCCTGATCTCACCTGCACTGGGTGAGTCCGCCCTTCAATGCTCAACACGGCCGGCGCCCTCGAAATCTCCCCAGGCCGCCACTCGCCCGCGCCCGCGCCACGCCATGCGGCGCCCGGCCCGCCGCCGCTGCCGCCCGCGGGGTCGAAGAAGTTGAAGAGGCGCTCCACCTCCAGCGTGGCGCTGCTGACAATGACACGCAGGTCCGGCCGCCGCCGCTGGACCTGTCGATGCCCCCAATTGTGTTTGTTTTGGCGCCCGTGATGAAGGGATGCAGGCCGGCTGTCAGCAGGGCCTTTCTGGAAACTCTGGGCGTCAGCCCCGCGGGGGTTGCTGCAGCGGGGGAAGGCACAAACCCGAAATGCAGCACCCGTGCAGGTTGCAAGTCCTGTGTCTTCACACGCAACTGGACACACAAAACAGCGGGGCACCTGGCCACCCAGCACCATTGCGGGCATCCGCTTGCCGCCGGCTGCCCTGCACGCCTGCTGCCCCCCCCCCCCTCTCGCCTTTTTAAGGAGGCCCAGCAGCGTGTCTGTCGCGAGCGACCGCTCGTGCGCCTCGTCCACCATCACGACGCTGACAAGGATCACAGGGGGCGGGCAGTGCGGCATGTCGTATGCGGTTGGTCGCCGGCAGGTTGACATGTGGGTATGTGTGTGGGTGGAGTCAGCGGTATGTAATCTGCTGCAACAAAACCATGCCTGGTAGGCATACTCTCGCCCAGACCGCTGGCAACTGCGCTGCGGTGGCAGGCGCAACCTGCTAGACAGGCCATTTTCAGGGCTCGCGGGGCTGTTTAGATGGCGCAGGCGCACTCAATCTTCCATCCGACCTCTGGCGTATAATCCCGTCACCCGTCACTCCCCCCAAAGGACCCGACGACTCACCTGTAGCGCGTGAGCAGGGGGTCCTCCATCATCTCTCTGAGCAGTACGCCGTCGGTGACGTACTTCACGCGCGTCACCTGCGGGCCGGCGGTACAGCGGTCGCTTGCAGCAGCACCGCCCGATGTGCGGCCGGTCCAGAGGGTGGACGGAGGCTGGCCGCATGCCCGCCTCGACCCATGGCAGTACAAAGCGTCCCCGCTGCTCGCGCCGCCCCGCCGCTGCCTCTGCGGGCGCTGGCGCTCGCACGGCCTCGGGTCTGCCGACCGCCAAGCCTTGATCACGCCGCGGACTTTGCACCCCTCTGGTCTGGTGGCATGACTGCCCAGCCGCACGCCTCTCGACTTCCCCATCTCACACCTGGCTCGCAACCTCTTCGAAGCGGATGGCGTAACCGACGGCGCCGCCCAGCGGCGTCCCCATCTCCTCCGCCACGCGCTGCGCCACTGTCACCGCCGCCACGCGGCGCGGCTGCGTGCAGACCACCTGGGGAAACAGGGCGCGGGCCGCGGCCACGGGGGAAGAGACCGGGGATACAGTCTGCAAAGCAGCGCTCAGTTGCTGATGGCTCGGGGGTTGGGGCCAGTGCTTGGATGCCGGGATGGGGAGCCGGCCGTTTGTCTGCGGCAGCCGCGGCTGCAGCGGACGCAAGGCGACCTGCCGCGCTGCTCGCTGTTTGAAAGTGCTGGACAAAAGCCAGCCAGCCATGCACCCGCACCCCTGCAGCCCCAAATCACGCGATTTTCGAAGTGCCCACCTGCATCCCGTCGTCGGCCCATCCGGCTTCGTACAGGAACCGCGGCACCTGCGTCGTCTTGCCGCTGCCAGTCTCGCCGACCAAGATGACCGTAGCATGAGACTCAACGAGGTACAAAATGTGCCGCCTGTACCGCGCCGCGGGCAGCTGCGCGCCCGGCCGCTGCTGCTGCTCCTGCCTCTGCGCCCCGGCGGCGGCGACGCCGCCGTCACCGCGCCCGCTGGTGCTTGGCGGCCCGTCGGCACCGCGGCCGGGCGGGGGACGGGATGGTGCGGCAGGGAAAGAGACGCCAAACGCGGATTTGGAACGCGACCCTGGGCGCTGGAAGGACATCAGCAACGCACTTCAGCACTGGACGAGCGCAGTGGTCGCGGCCGCGCCAACGCCGTGTGCCCGCCGCTGCCGTATCAAGCTAGATCTGCGGCTTGGGTAATGTCCAATTGTGTCAGCGTCACCAGGGCCATTTTGCACTCGTATGCAAGGACCTGGAAGTGATCACAGATTTTGTGTGAGTCCCAGCGCTTGTACAAAGGAACCAAGGCCGATCAATGTATCCTTTGACTACTCTCAATGTAGGAAACTTTTTTGATCCAACTAAGTCTGAGCCAGCTCTTACGATCTGTAGCGCAGTGCCATTGGGCTAGGCCCCGACGTTTTCGCCCTTGGATCTCCTGATAGTATTGCTCACTTCCAGACCAACAGTACTACTAGAACGTGCCGACCCCAGCATCGGTAAACAGCTGAGCCAACCTGCACCAGCAGCGTCACAACCGAACGCCGCCGCGCTCGCGCTTCTGCTCAGACAGGCTCAAGCAGCATTGGAACGCTCAGCAGCGGAGCAACAGCGACCGCCGAGCTCAAGGTCAGCAGCAGCTGGTCGCTTGCGGGCACCACCAAACTGCCAGGTAGCAGCGACCTCGGCAGCGCGCAGCTGCGGCGGCGCGAGCGCCCTCACGGGCGGCGGCGGCGGCGGCCATGCACAACTTCTGGGCCCGCATCAACGCGGTGCTGACCTTCTTCGGCACCGTAGCCGCGGCGCTGTGCGTGCTCGTCACGCTGACGGACTATGTCCACCAGAGCAACCCCCAGATCAGCCTGCAGCTGAAGGGCGTCAAGCGCCTGGCCCCCTTCCGCTCGAAGAACGACCAGGCGGTGCTGTCCATGGCGCTCGACGCCGACCTGCGCAGCGCGTTCAGCTGGAACACGAAGCAGCTGTTTGTGTTTGTGCAGGCCGAGTATGAGACTGCCGAGGTGCGCTTGCTTGCTGCGGGGGAGGGGGATGACTGGTGGGGGCCAGGTGTGGGGAGACAGGGCATGGTGGGCTCCAGTGCGGTGGTGCGGTCTGCATGTTGTAGCGCGCGGCGAGCAGGCTGCAGGCTGTGCTCCCCAGAAGCACGGGTCGCATACAGGTTGGGAGGGTTGAGGCGGCGGCCCCTGCTGTGAGGGCCGCACTCTGCGCGGCGCAGCAAGTGCAGCGGGCGTGTTGCAGCACCAGCACCGGCCTTGTGCCCCGCTGCGCCGCCATCCCCCTCAAACCATGCCGTCACCCATGCGCACACCCCCTCTCCACCCCCCCCACCCCATCGTGGACACGCTCCCTCGGCGCGCCGCAACCTCGGACGCCCGCAGAACAAGATCAACCAGGTCGTGCTGTGGGACAAGATCGTGCGGTCCAAGGACGAGGCCGTGATCAAGGCCCCCGGCCTGAAGCACAAGTACGCCCTCATAGACCGCGGCCAGTCGCTGCGCGGGACGCCCCTGACGCTCTCCCTCGTCTGGAATGTGATGCCCAAGGTCGGCGCGCTCTTCCAGCAGTCAAGATCGTTTCCCGTGGGAAGCCTGCCGGAAGAATACGTGTACTGATGGGTGACGCGGGGGCCGCGCGGAGGGGCGAGGGGGTCGGCACAGGCTGCGAGCCCGGCGGTGCTGGCGACGGCTCGGCAGGCCCCGCATCGGCGCGGGCATGGCGGCCTTGCATCGTGTGGTGCGTGCGCCAGGGATGGCGCGATCTAGGTGTTAATATTCGACTGATGATTTGGCGATCAGGGCATGATGCTTCTGGGGGATGTGCGGTTGGCCCCTGGCTGCTGGCCCATTCGCGGCTGCCGTCAAGGGTGACTAGACACGAGCAAAAGCCGCGGGCAGTTTGGACCGAGACTGCTAGCGTGCGGTGAAAAAGACCCGGTCCAAACGCAAGCAAGTGTTCTGGCGGGGCGATGCCTCAGATGCGCTGCGCAAGAACGGGGCACGCGTGTCGAGTGCGGGGAAGCCTGCCCCATCCTGATTCTGGCGCTGTGTCGCAGCAGGGTGGGTGGGAGGGTGGGAGAAGCGAGCGAGAGATCCTGACGGCGGGACAGTGCCAGCAAATGGGCCCGCCGTGAATTGAACGAGGGGCAGTTGATGCTTTCACAGGCGCGGCGCAGAGGCTGCCCTCGTGGCAGGGCCGGTGCGCTGTGCTAATCAGCAGCTTGGGCTTGCGACCGCGTCCGCAGTGACGTCGATGGTGTCACCCGGGTTCGCCCCTGCACAGGCGGGGCCACGCTGGTAAGAGCTGTGAATTGCGTGTAAACGTTCAATTGCTCGTGCTGGCAAGATCGCCCAGAGTCCTCATTTACCGAGGCGTCTTCCAGCTACCTTGCCGTTCCGCATGGTCGGCCCACCCCAACGCGTGTGATCGGTTTGTTCTTGCGAACGCACGTTGTAGTCGAGTGTTTGTTAGACCTTAGTGATCGTCTGTTCGGTTGCGTGAGGCCTCCCCCAGGCCCTCCAGCACTGATTTGTCTCCCTGGGACAGCATCGGGAGCTTCTGCACAGCCTGCGGGCCAGATCGTCGTCTAAAGGATTGATGGCTACTCCTGTGGAGCCCGCGGCACAGTACCAAGGCGGAAGTCAGCCTGCAGGCCAGTGCGCAGCAGCGGGACCAATGCCCACCCAGCACAGTGGTCCAGTCCAGCAGCAGCAGCGAGGCATGTGGTATGCACATATGGAGGCGTTTTCCGCGGCCGCGAGGGCTGCAGCTGTGCACCAGCAAGCGATGCACCCGCAGCCCTTCGGAATGTGGCCCATGCCCATGTGGGGTGAGTTCAAGGGCGATGCAGACCAACCCTATCGCATGAGAGTCGCGATGCATGCCTCGCTCCGCGCTCCGCTCAGCGGATCGGGCGCTATGGCGCCTCGTTACTCACCGGCGTCACCGCCCCGCCCGTGCGCACCCGGTCGCCCGCGCACCCGCCGCAGGGATGATGCCGATGCCCGGCATGGGCGGGCCGATGATGTACGGGATGCCTGGGATGATGCAGATGCAGGTGAGCAGGGCGTCCAGCAGCGGGGGCGCGCGGTCGGGTGGTTCTGGGAACATTCATTAGATTTCGTCCCAGACGCTGTCCGCCAGCAACTTCTCACCCCACGCACCCCAATCATGCCCACATGTCAACCCTTGTGACCATGCTTGCGCAGGCCCAGCAGCATCAGCAGCAGCAGCAGCGGCCGGGTGGCTGCGCGGCGCCGCACCAGCAGCAGGAGCAGCAGCAGCAGCAGCAGCAGCACGCCGCAGGCTTCTTCGGCGGCGCCGACTGTGACGCGCAGGCCATGCAGGTGTGGCCCGCGCCACGCGGCAGGGACGTCGCCGGGCAATCAGAGCGGCTGGACGGGGTTGTGATCCTTTGCCACCCATCTTGCATGGCTCGACTCTGTAGGGTGTGATCCCTCCAGCGATCCTTTCGGGATGAGTGGGCGCAGCAGCCGTATCGCTCACAAAGCGCAACAGCTGTTCGCACCGCCGCGCATGCCGTCTGACGCGACTTTCCCCGGCCCCGAACCGCTGCGTCTGCGCAGGAGCTGCGCCGCTCCCCAAGCCCCTCCGGCTCGAGCCACAGCGTCGGCACCCAGGAGTCCGCCGGCTGCGCCTGGGACGCGGCCGCCGGCGGCGGCGCCGGCGCCAGCAGCGGCGCCGCGGCGCGCGCGCCC